CCTGGAGCATGTGGTTGTCATAAGCCACGCTCTCGCGTTCAATGAGACTGTTATCGGCCTGTAGTGCTTCCCGAAGAAGTAGATCCGGGAGCTGGTCAAGTTGCGGCAGATCAAACTCAGCTACCGCTTTTCCGCTTACTTGAAGCAACTCGTTCAGACTCTTGAGTGTGTTAACCATCACCAAGTTGTCCTTCGCCTGGCCTTCCATGGCGCGGAATCGGCGGTTGAATTCCTCGAACAGTGCTTCGTAGAACTCATCCCATAGCTGACGCACCTGCGCAACCTGAGAGTACACCAAAAGCGTAGCGAAAAGCTGACGCAATTGATACGCCATCTAGAATGTCGCGGCTTCCTCCATACAGGCTGTTCACTCTTGGTCATTCTCGAGATATCCCAAGCGTACCGCCGCGTCCTTGTACGATCCACAGACGACGCCATCCACAGTCCGAAGGTCCACAAAGGAAGTAGGTCCTTTGCGGTGACACAGCAACACGCGCAAGTAGAACCTCTCTTCATCTCTTGGAGACACGTGTACCATGCGTCCTAGCGCTGCTTGGTACTTCTTGCGACGGACCCACATCTTGTGTTTGTTCCACCGGAAGTACTTTGGGATATCCTGGTACACAATTGTCTTGGCTACCTGGTCCTCGGGGATTTCGCTCGCGCATACCTCGAAAAAGGCGGTAAGCTTCGTGCGATCGTTACGGTCAATGACGCGTTCCGGGTCTTCTGTCTCCCGGAAAATCACCATCGGCTGACCTTCGAGGTGCACCGTAAGGAGACACACCGCATGGGTCTTTCCCTGAACGACGTGTCCAAGGAGACGCATGCACGCCTCAATTGGCGAGATGTACCTCGCGGTTACGTACCGAATGATTTCGTTGGGCTCCCGCCTGTTGATAGCAGCCTCACCTGGCACCGCCTCTACTGTAATCACTGCCCTGTCGGATCCCTTGTAGACGTGCTTGTACAGATACTTTACCACCGAGAGCGCCGTGCATATTTCAATGTTGATGTGGCAATTGTACTTCTGTGTAAAATAGGGATTGTACGGTACCACCCATTGATTCACCGTTGCGTTGTCGTACTCTTTCCCTTTAAAGATAAGAAATCCTTCTGGTCGACGTCGGCGTCTGTATTGCGGAAATCCGTCATCACTGACCCGCGTCGTTTCCGCAAACGGTTTCGGGTAGCCCTTGTACACTTGCCGTCCTTCATACAGACACATGATGGGTTTGCTGCACCACAGCGTCCGTGCAGCATAGACGTCATGACCGTTTCATAAAGACCCGGGTTAGTCTCAGGATCCGGTATTTCCGCAGACACCATTTTGTCAATGATCTGTCGCGTGCGGGGGTTTGTCCTCGTCAGCCAAAATGACTAAGATGTGAGCATGTTGAAGACCACGTTTCTGAAACTCCACAACGTAAATCCGAGCAGCAACCCGTCCAAGCACACTCTCATCCAGGTCTTTTAGATGAGCAACCAACTTCTGCTGCCATACTCTCGCGACGATATCTGGGCGATCTTGGGCAGTCTGGTTTGGATCAGTAATCTTCTCCTTGATCTCTTCCCACGTGGGGTTGCAAGTCATCGTATCAAAGATGTCAGGCTTGCCGTATTCCCTAACGATAGCCATGGAGTCTTGGTACGATTGGTACATCTGACGCGGACTTCCGGGTGCGAAGACGGCAGGATGACCTTCTTCCCAATCTGATGGAGGAAGTGCTTGTTCCTAGCTCGGTCTGGATGAGCCAGCTCTCCAGTGCCACGATCATATTCAACCAGAAGGCCTTTGCCATCACCCAAGATAGTCCTAGCCTCTTCCATAGCTTCATGGAGATACGCGTCTA